TTAGTTTAAATGGGAAAGTTAAATTCTTACAAACAGAGAAACATATGGAGATCTTGGAGTGGGGTGACACATACTATCAGGACAAATAAAATATACATAGTCTAACGACGCAGTCGTCCCTTCCCACTGTAACTCACGGAAATACTTGAGAGACTCCTCTATCTGTTCCGAGGTGAGATTGAAGGGCAGGTCGGTGGGTAGGATAGGAGTGTGCAGCCAGTCGTCATGCTCATAGCCAAACATGGTATCTGCGCGCAGTGTGTAACGCGGGAGCTGTTCTCGCAGAAGACTGATGATCTCCACCTCCGGGACATCTCCACCGGTGCATACATCTGTGGAGAAACCAAGTCACCATTAATAAAAAGGAGTACCGGACCTGACTAGGCTTTATTTCTTATAGGTCAGTTATATTACAATATTACCCACCTCCAAGTTTATCTCGATCAGGGGTAAGCAACCATCAGCACTCCAGATGTTGTGGACTACATCTCCCATGATGCATTGGCAGTATTATGGCTGTACAAACATTATAGGAGACGTAGTCCACAACATCTAGAGTGCCGAAGGTTGCCTACCCCTGATTTAGGTCCTTGTATCCATACAGCCACTGTAGCCCCAACCTCAATGGCTATTCCATTCATGAACTCAGTTTGCCCTTAATTCTGCACCCCTGTCTCTTGAGTAGAAGATAATATTTCCCCGAATATTACCAATGCACACTTAGATTCCCAGTATGAGATTATTATCATTATTATTTTTTGTAAAAATCTTGAAAGGACACTGTAAGCACTATAACCATTCCAATTCATGATACTGGTTATAGTGTCTGAAGTCCCCTTGATATAAGCATCCCATCTCAGAGACTATCAGCTGAAGTCCTACGTTTTAGTTCAAAACAGAATGAATCAAGAATATTTTTTCTTGATAAAACCACATATAGCCATTTAATATATAGTACGAAGCATTAAAGAGACAGAATCCCTGAAGTAAAAATGGACATACATCTCCAACTACCACCCTTTCGATGTTCTAGAAGAGATTGTGTTGTTTATGACAAAGAAATGGCTGCGATCAGATTTTGTATGTTTTTTGTATATCTGTTCTGAGCTTAAAAAATATAAAATTGCATTCTGATACGCAGAATGCCCAGCGTACAAACTGGAAACAAAACGATTCAAGTCAAGTTCCCTTATTCAAAGTACGGCACGAACCCTTCTAAAAAGACAAGCCATCACATCAGTTCTCTGTATGTTGGGTACCAGTTCCTCTGGCAAAACAACTCAAAGTAATTTAGTGGAAACCTGTTTTCCTTCTATGGAGACGGGGACGTGACTAGCTGCACGTCATGAACTTAGTACAGCATCAAAGGCCACTAGCAAAACATCTACAAGTGATCATACACATCAGGTATAACAGCACCCATTACAGGACATCTGACCTCTTTAGTGTGCCATTGTCTTTAAATTAGGACTATAGCTTTCATTGCTGCCTGCCATCAAACACAGAAACTCCGGCCTTCAGGCATCCACAAGACTACGCACAAATTCACCCGTCGATTCTCATGTGCACGCATACACACACACACACACACCTCTGTATAAACACACACTGACCCATCACAAAAATGTACCTCCTTTGTATGGAAGGTTTGTGTAAATGATTTTTTATATATATATATATATATATATATATATATATATATATATATATATATATATATATATATATATATACATACATACACACACACACACACACACACACACACACACACACACACTCCACACAAAGGCACCCCTCTTTTTAAAAACAAATTCTCCACTGCATTAACAAACACATGCCCACACAAATTCATCCTGTGTATACACATACACACGACTCTCTACAAATAGGTACCCCTTTTTTTTTTTTACAAACTCACCTTTCATAAAAAAGTATTTTTTCATACACACACACACACACACACACACACACACAATTACACCCCTTTATTCACACAGAGACCTCCAAATAAATGCACCCATGTATTCACACACCAGAACAATACAAGAACATGCATTCCCTATGACCACACACAAATGCAAAATGTCAACACACATCACCATTCACACTATGTTTAGTTAAATAATAAAATGCTATGTGTAAAATTTACCCAGGGCCCAAATAGTGGTCAGTCTGTCCTGAGTGCTGCAAACATTACTATTATCATTATTTATATAGCGCCAACATATTAAACAGCACTTATTAAATATAGAATGGGGATAATTGACATTAACAGTAATAATTATAATAATTATAACAATAATGACAATGGTGAAGACCCTACTGAAAGGAGTTTACAAACTATGAGCATGGAAGGGCTGGCAGGCTTAGGCCTGGGAGGGGCATATCCAGCCAAGTGGCTCTCTGTAAAAACACCTCTCCCATGTGATTGAAGGGGTGAGGGACAGTCACCTTAACAGACAGACAGGGGGTAGGGGAACGGGGGCAGGGGCTGAGCAAGGGGGACAGGGGATGAGCAAGGGACAGGGATGAGCAAGGGGACAGGGGATGAGCAAGGGGCAGGGGCTGAGCAAAGTTATGGAGCTGCTGAAAAGGGGGCAGGTGCTGAGGAAGAGGGGACAGGGGCTGAGGAAAGGGGGACAGGGGCTGACCAAGGTGGATAGGGGCTGAGCAAAGGGACACACACACAAACATAAACTTTACAATTTAAAAGCCAAGAGGACAGGGCTGTAGTGGGTGGACAGGGGCTGTAGTGGAGGGTATGAGCTGTAATTGGGGGGTTAGGAAATGTAGTCAGGGGATAGGGGCTGAAGTAGGTTGATGGCTACAATTTGGGAAAGGGGCTGTAGTGTGGGTGATATGGGTTGCAATTGTGGGAGAGGAGCTGTAGTGGGGATGTTATGGGGGCTGTGGTGGGGGACATGGGGCTGAGGAAGGGGAACAGGAGCTGAGGGGGGGGGCAGGGGTTGAGGAAAGGGACAGGGGAACAGGGGCTTAGGAAGGGGGTTAAGGGCCGAGGAAGGGGGACAGGGGCCGAGGAAGGGGGATAAAAAAAAAACCTGATGATGTCAGGAGGAGGGGGCGTGACTTCCTCTGCTCTTCTTGCAGACTCCCCAGCGGTCCTGGGAGAAGAGCAGTGAAAGTCACGCCCCCTCCTCCTGACATCATCCGGAGAGGCTGGCTGACTCCACTGGCTGCAGGGAGAGTGAGGTGAGTTAAAGAGTCCCCATTCGGATTTTAACTTTTTTTGCTGGATGTGGACAGCCCTGGATTTAGGACGGCCTGGGGGGCAATTGCCTCCCTGACCCTCGTCCCAGCTCACCCCTGACTGAGGAAGGGGTAAAGACACAAATGAGGAATATAAGATGTCAGAGGAGAGGAGGGACTGATTTATAACATTATCAAATAAAGGAATATAATATATCATGTTTTAACTCTAGCATGTAAGCTCATTGAGCATGGCCTTCATCTCCTCTGTTTCTGTGCATCTGGTTACAATTACATGTTTGTTTGTCTACCCATTGTAAAGCGCTATGGAATTTGTTGGCGCTATATAAATATAATAATGATAATAATCACTGCTAAGAAAAAAAATAAATTTTGTGCGACCTATTTTTTTTTACACTGTGTTTTTAGAATTCTAATAAACAATACTGCCCTCTGCTGTCTTTCACATGTAACTATGGTGTTTCCATATACAAAGTTACGTACTAAAGTGAGAATTCAAGGTGGATTCAAAGTGATTCAAACTTAAAGACAAAATAGCTGAACTGAACAAAGTCTCCCAGTCAGCTATGCTTCCAGTTTAGCTATATTGACCTAAACATGTGAAATTCACCTTGGATTTTCATTTTACTAAGAATTAACCCCTAAAATGAGAGAAAAAGAGAGAGAGAGAGAAAAAGAGAGAGAGAGAAAGAAAAAGACAAAGAGAGAGAGAGAGAGAGAGAGAGAAAGAGACCATGTAAGGGAATGCACTCCCTTTATACTTTCAAGTTGAGATCTGTGAGAGAATGTGTGAGTTTATAAATATTAAATATTAGGGTCCCCATGAACTCCTAATTATTATGGGGGAAATCAAACCATAGTCCTCCCTCATACCACTAATAAATACATGTACCAAGTTCTGCTCCATTCCAAGTCACATGTGGAAAGCATGTAACAATTTTATTTTACACATTATGGTTCTAGAAGACAATAGGAGGCACAACAAGAAACCACAGGACTCCGGTGTGAAAATTGCCCTGGCTCGCCCCCTGCTAGCCCAGACATCTCCCTCCCTCCCCCCCCCAGCCCCTCCATGTGTAACACTCACGCCCCTCAATGTGTCTCATTCATACAAACACACACAAGGCCGATGTAAACATTTATGACGCCAGGGCCGGACTGGGCATTTTTTTATCACAGCGGCCCACTAAGAAGGGGGCGGGGCAGAGAGGGTGTGTTTTGTCATCACCAATGACAAACACGCCCCCTCTCAAAGTGAGAATGTTGGTTCAATGCTCTTCCAGGGCAGACCATGCGCAGAGCTCTGCTGAAGAGGTCTAGCATGAGAAAAAAGCCCTGTATTCGTTCTGCACAGTGCAAGCAAATTTAATAACATGCTTGCACTGTGTTTCCTTGCAACTTGTCTCTGGTGTGTCTATAAATGGATACCAGGAGACAAAAGGGCCAGAAAGAGTATTGTGCCTGTGTTTGGAGCCTGCTTGGGGTATTGCGTGTGTGTAGAGTGAGCTGGTCGTGGTGTGGTATTGTGTAATAAGGTCGGTTTTAGTCGTGTTGTGTTTGTGGTGTAATGTAATTCATATGTGGCTAGGGACTGTAGAGAATGTGTGTATAGGGGATGTAGCAAGTGTGTGCATACAGGCTATAGTGTGTGTGTGTGTGTGTGTACGTGATGTAGTGTTTGTAGAGAGTGTGTGTTCAGGGAATGTAGTATGTGTTTGCTTACAAGGAATCTAGTGTGCGTATAGGGATAAAGAGAGTGTGTGTGTGTGTGTGTGTGTGTGTGTGTGTGTGTGTGTGTGTGTGTATGTATGTATGTATGTATATATATATATATATATATATACACACACATATATACACACACACACACACACACATATATATGAGTCTTGTGTGTGTTTGAAGGACCCAGACTATGTATAGGAGATCTAGTGAGCGTGCGTATATAACTGATTCAGAGTGTATATAGGGATCTAGTGTGTGTATGTGTGTAGATGATCCAGAGTTGGGTAAAGGATCTAGTGTCTGGAATGTAATTTGTTTAGGGGTACAGTGTGTGTGTGTGTGTGTGTGAGGGGTGCTGTGTGTATATATATATATATATATTTTATATAAATATGTTTGGAAGTATTGTGTATGTGTGTGATGCAGTGTATCGGGGGGTTGTGTGTGTATGTGAGGGGTGCAGTATGTGTGTGTGATGGATGCTGTGTGTGAGGGTGGTGTGGGTGCTGTATGAGGGTGCTTTGTGTGAGGGTGGTGTGGGTGCTGTGTGAGAGTGCTGTGTGTAGGTGCTGTATGTGATTGATTTGTGTGAGGGTGCTGTGTGTGTGGGTGCTGTGTATGATGTGTGTAGGTGCTGTGTATGATGTGTGTGAGAGTGTTGTGTGTGATGTGTGTGAGTGCTGAGTGTGTTGTGTGTGAGAGTGCTGAGTGTGTTGTGTGTGAGAGTGCTGAGAGTGCTGTGTGTGATGTGTGTGAGAGTGCTGTGTATAAATGTTGTGAGTTGGGGGGTAAATAAACAAACAAAAAAGCCTAGGAGGGAGGGACAGACACGTGATAGCTGGGGGTCCAGTGGTGAGTGGTGAGTGCCATGGAAACGCTCCCGATCTCGCGAGAGGAACCCGGCGGAGATGCAAGATAGAGCTCCGCCGGGTCCTCTTCCTCCCCAGCCGCAGGTCTATTTAAATGGGCTGGTGAAGGAGATCTTTGATCTCCCCACCGGCCCTCCATGGAATACAGCGGGGCCGGCGCTGAATAGACCGGCAGGGGATGTCCTGTGACCTCCCCTGCCGTCCTCGGCCCATGGCCACCGCGGCCCACCGGGCATTTGCCCGGTGTGCCCGATGGCCAGTCTTGGCCTGTATGACGCCCTAGGCGAAAATAAATTTGCCACCCTATTTGCTTCACCCAATCATGCAGTCTAACACACGCTGACTCCAGTAGACAGAGTGACCATGCAAACTGACACACACCCACTAACCCATGTAGACTGATATACACACATTGACCCATGCAGACACACTGACCCACGCAGACACACATATACAGACAGACACACTGACCCATGCAGACACACACATTGACCCATGCAGACAGACACACTGACCCATACAGACAGACATACATAAACATACTGACTGAAGCAGACTAACACACATTCTCTGACATATTTTACCTTCATTGCTGTTCATTGCCTGTGCCTGGCTGCCTATCACATCCTTTCTCTGCACATTTCCTGTTATGCTCCCGCCCACTTCTCCCCACGTACAGGGAAGGGTCGAGAGCGAGGAATTCTACTGCCCGCGCGCTGCCACTGCCGCAATGTATGTCTGGGAGGGGTAGCCTGGCTGAACAGGTTGTGGTGGATGCCGCTGGACTTGTGTTCTACTCGGCGCTAGTGGGCAATAAAGTGCTTCCGAGCACCCGGTAATATGGCCGGCGGCATACTCAAAATAATCTAATTTGATGGAGGGATGGCCACGGCACAAACATAAAGCCAGGGCCGGCGCCCACCTTAAGCAGCGCCCTGGGCAGCCGCCTAATTTGCCTACAGGGAGTGCCGGTCCTGAACACACACGGACATACATGCAGATACACACCATATAACACATACAGATACATACACAGACACACACAAATATATGCAGACACACAAACTAACACACAGATACACAGACACATTTTTATATACACACACACAGACACTCATGCAGATAGAGTGAGGGAAAAAAGTATTTGATCCCCTGTTGATTTTGAATGTTTGCCCACTGACAAAGAAATGATCAGTCTAAAATTTTAATGGTAGGTGTATTTTAACAGTGAGAGACAGAATAACCAAAAAGAAAAGTCCAGAAAAACGCATGTGAAAAAAGTTATAAACTGATTTGCATGCCAATGAGTGAAATAAGTATTTGATCCCCTATCAATCAGCAAGATTTCTGGCTCCCAGGTGTCTTTTATATATGTAAGGAGATGAGATTAGGAGCTCTCTTAAAGGGAGTGCTTCTAATCTCAGCTCGTTACCTGTATAAAAGACACATGTCCACAGAAGCAATCAGATGCCAAACTCTCCACCACGGCCAAGACCAAAGAGCTGTCCAAAGATGTCAGGGACAATATTGCAGACCTACACAAGGCTAGAATGGGCTACAAGACCATTGCCAAGCAGCTTGGTGAGAAGGTGACAACAGTTGGTGCGATTATTCACAAATGGAAGAAACACAAAATAACTGTCAGTCTCCCTCGGTCTGGTGCTCCATGCAAGATCTCACCTCGTGGAGTTTCAATGATCATGAGAATGGAGAGGAATCAGCCCAGAACTACACGGGAGGATCTTGTTAATGATCTCAAGGCAGCTGGGACCATAGTCACCAGGAAAACAATTGGTAACACACACACTACGCCGTGAAAGACTAAAAATCCTGCAGCGCCCGCAAGGTCCTCCTGCTCAAAAGAGGAAATGCACAGGCCCATCTGAAGCTTGCCAGTGAACATCTAAATGATTCAGAGGAGAACTTGGTGAAAGTGTTGTGGTCAGATAAAACCAAAAATCAAGCATTTTGGCATCAACTCAACTCGCCGTGTATGGAGGAGGAGGAATGCTGCCTTTGACCCCAAGAACACCATCAAACATGGAGGTGGAAACATTATAATTTGGTGTTTTTCTGCTATGGGGACAGGACAACTGTACCATGTGCCATGTACCGTCAAATCTTGGGTGAGAATCTTCTTCCCTCAGCCAGGGCATTGAAAATGGGTTGTGGATGGGTATTCCAGCATGACAATGATCCAAAACACACAGCCAAGGCACCAAAGGAGTGGCTCAAGAAGAAGCACATTAAGGTCCTGGAGTAGTGAAGCCAGTCTCCAGACCTTAATCCCGTAGAAAATCTGTGGTAGGAGCTGAAGGTTCGAGTTGCCAAACGTCAGCCTCAAAACTTTAATGACTTGGAGAGGATCTGCAAAGAGGGGTGGGACAAAATCCCTCCTTAAAATGTGTGCAAACCTGGTGGCCAACTACAAGAAACGTCTGACCTCTGTGATTGCCAATAAGGGTTTTGCCACCAAGTGCTAAGTCGAAGGGCTCAAATACTTATTTCACTCATTGACTTGCAAGTCAATATATAACTTTTTTGACATGCGTTTTTCTGGTTTTTTTTGTATGTTATTTGGTCTCTTACTGTTAAAATACACCTACCATTAAAATTATTGAATGATCATTTTTTTTTGTCAGTGGGCAAACGTTCAAAATCAGCAGGGGATCAAATACTTTTTCCCCTCACTGTACACAGACACACAGAATTACACACTTTGAGATACACAGAATGACACTCCTATAGATACAAACACTGACACAAATACAGATATACTGACATACATGCGGATACACAGACACACATACAGACAGTTACACAAACACTTAAGGACCAACATTAAAATACACAGAATGACACTCATACGGATACAAAAAGTGACACACATATAGATACAGTGGGCACACACTGACATACAGATACGCACAGACACACATACATACAGAAACACACATAAAAACAGACACACATACAGACAGACACACACCCTCCTGTTTCCTACCTTTTAGGTAGGAGGGTGACTAAACCATTGTGCATGTGTGATTGTTTTAGGTGCAGGAGGGTGACTTCCCTGGGTTCCAGCATGATCTATACACCAAAATCACTTCATTAAACTAAGGTTGTTTTGGTGCCTACAGTGTACTTTGATAACTGATAGTTATTGAATGGTAAATGAAATGACAATGGGGGATACTTACGAAGCTCAGAATTTGTACCCCCACAGACTAAAAAAATGGTTTTGTCATCTGCAACATTTGAGCCAACAACAGTAGCGATTTGTGACCATAGCTGTTTTCACTTAATATTCCCAAATTGTTTAACTGAAATGCTTACCTATCAGAGGGCCATGCTGTCCTAAGGTCACCTACCTGTGATTGTAGAAGCATCCTTAAGATTGGCATTCCCATCTGTTGGTGTTCGTGGCACCTCATGGTCCTGGGAGCTAAGGTTGGTGGCCGGTAAGTGATCGAGATGTTCAGGTTGAGTTCTGCCTGCCTCCTCACCTGGTGCGGTGGGGTCCAGCTTGGCAGGAGTCAGCGGAGGAAGGCTGCCATGCACTGATGATCTGAATAAGCCTTGGTCCGGAAGGCAGAAGAGGTAACCTGGCCTCTCCTCGGCAAGGCTACTGATGATTCCCCTGCAAGACAGGCAACACGAAGCTTACTGCATTAACTGTAGGACCTCTTGAGAAGCGATGGAGTATTTCGGTGACCTCAATAATAAACACTTTGTCCTGCATTTATTTATGCATGGTGATTCATGACATTATTATGTACTGTATTTTGAGTTTGTGTACAAAACTTTAATCTACACACCCTATTTTTAGACTTGGTCATCAGAACAACTTCAGCTTAAAGTAGTTGTTCTGGTGCCTATTACCTGTCCTTGGAGTCTTTTTAATGTAAACAATACTTTTTCAGATAAATGGCAGTGTTTCCATTACTGTGTTCAGTGGCGTACATACCACAGTCGCAGGGGTCACAGCTGCGACCGGGCCCGGCAATCCAGGTGGCCCGGCTGCCCTGCGGACCCCTGCGACCGGGTACCAGTTGCCACATTTGAGACCCCAGCCCGCATGGCAAACCGCCGAGGGAGCATATGGAAGGGTCCATCGGGTGGCCCATGCTGTCAGGGCCACCCGATGGATATGGATTGTGAGGGGGCCGGTCTGTGCTGGGCACTTTAACAGCGCGACTGGGACCCCTGTGATTACATCATCGCTGGGAGGAAGGGATTCCCCGGTCACTCCTCCCAGCTATCAGCCCGCGCGGGAGGAAGAT